AATGAAAATTTACAGACTTTGGATTTTCATTCATTCATTGTTGCACTTTTCTCCCTGCCCACCCCTCCCACCCCTCCAGTACACTCTTCTCTTTGAAAAGTAAATAAAAAAAAATCCTTCTTTGTTTTACAATCCCTCCCCCCAAGTTCCACTCCACTATGCAGCCTTCATTCTGGACTCCTATCATGACAATAATACCTAATCATATATACCTTTTAAACAGTTTTCTCTCTCATCTATTTCAATGCAGTATACATTATTTATCCCATCTTTCTCAGTCTCCCCACAACCCCAATGTCAGTCCTATTTTACGACAGTGGGAGTTATCTTGATTTTTAAAGTAACAACCTTGTTCATTAGTACTTTAAAAAGGTCCTTGACAGTAGATTCACCCAAAGTAACACATATTTTTACATTTCAGTTGCTGCTTCCTAGGGTGTTGATTCTGGATCCATTTAAAATGAAACCATTGATAATGTCAGTCTTTTCTCCATATATATGGTCCAGCTGTAAGGATATTTATTTTATATTGAAGTGTAATCCATACTTTCAATCTTTGAAATCACTTGTTATGCATTAGAAAGCTGGACAATGACTAGGGAGGATAGAAGGAGAATTGATGCCTTTGAGCTATAGTGCTGGAAAAGAGTATTGAGGGTACCATGGACTCCTATGAAAACAAACAGGTTCAGCCTGGAGAGGGTTAAACCGGGCACCTCCTTGGAGGCAAAGATTCTGAGGCTTCATCTGACATACTTTGGTCATTTTGAAAGGTGAGACTGGTCCTTGGAGAGGGACATCATGCTTGGGAGGGTGGATGGCAGGCACAGGAGGGGAAGGCCCTCTATGAGGTGGATTGATTCAGTGACTAGGGTAATCGGGATGGGTGTATTGGAAACAGTGCAACTGGCACAGGACAGAGCAGAGTTTAAGGCTGTTGTACATAGGGTTGCCATGAGTCGTAAGCGACTTGATGGCACATAACAACAATAATACATACTTGAGAACAGTGGTATTCTTCAATAGGTATTGAACTTCTCTATGTTTTAGGAAGTCAAAGTGTGTCATCTGCATCACCCCGGTTGTTGATAAGCCTTCCTCCAATCCTGATGCCTCATTCTTCATCATAGACGCCTGCTTGAAGGCTCAACATCAAGAAAACAAAGATTCTCACCACTGGGCCAATTGGCAGCATCAGTATGGATGGTAAAGACATTGAGATAGTTAACAGTTTTAGTTTGCTTGGCTCCACAGTCAACACTCTTGTTACCAGCAGCCAGGAAATCAAGAGATTAATTGCATTGGGAAAGTCAGCTGTCAGGGACCTCTCCAGAGTAATGGAGAGCAACGACATCAGGCTGGAGACTAAGGTTTGTCTGATCAAATACTCTTTGCAGTTGTATGCTATGCATTGGAGAGCTAGACAGTGACTATGGATGACAGAAAGAGAATTGATGCCTTTGAGCTATAGTGCTGGAGAAGAGTGTTGAATATACCATGGTCTGCTAGGAGAACAAACAGGTTTGTCCTAGAGAGGTTTGTCCTTGGATTCAAGAATTCTGAAGCTTCGGTCTGACATACTTAGGGCATGTTACAAGGAGGGACCAGTCATTGGAGAGGAACATCATGTTTGGGAGAGTGGAGGTACAGCACAGGAGAGGAAGACCCTCAATGAGATGGATCGATTCAGTGATTGAGGTAGTGGGAGTAGGAGCTATTACTTCCATAATAGCTTGCCTCCGGAAAACTTATAAACCTGGAGAGAGGATGAAAGACACCCTAGTGTTGAGGACTCTCCTTCATAGGGTTGCTATGAGTCGCCTGCGACTCGGCGGCACTTAACAACAACAACAACAACATACATAGGTTCGCTATGAGTCGCAAGTGACTTGACAGCACATAACAACAAAAAAATACAGATTTAATAGGTATAATAGAAGAATATAGGTATAATAGAAGAATACAATCATAATGTGCACCTTTATTGATTTTAAACCATGCAGTATCCCTTTGTTCTGTTCAGTCAGTTGCTTTATGGTTTGTGTCCAGGTTCCAAATGAGTACAATAAAGTGTTTGGAATTCCCATTCTTCTAATTGTTATCAATAATACCTTTGCATAGTAAATAAAACACAAGTAAACATCTTTCTAGTATTTTCTTCTTTCACCCAAGAGTCATCTGATACCAGCAATGACATCCCTACAAGTGAAAAAGGGGAACTACATATTTTTTCCTCAATTTTCTGTAAATCTAAAATTGCTCTGGGAAAAAAAAGCCTGTTATATAGAAGCAGGCACAGATGGAAAAACTAATTATAATTTCTAATTGTGAAATCAGTTAAAAAGTTTACGCTTATGAAGCCTTTTGCAGTCCTTAGAGATGTTAAAGTATTATGATCAAAAATGTTGATGAATTTAATTCCCTTGTTTATCTCATGTTATCTAACACTAAATAAAAATATTCCTGAGAGGGAGAGGGATATTAAATTTTAAATGTTTTTCTTTGAACAAATTCTCTAATTGGTACAGATGTTCTTGCTTGTTGGAGCTATTGTCTTATAAATCTTTACTATAGTCATTAGAATCTACCAAGCATTATTTTAAAATAGTAAAATATTTCAATTGTAATTTTTAAATCTTAAAATCACTCTTTCACAAACTATTCAAAATACAACCTAAAATTGAAGAACAAGAAGCAGTAAATTACATGTCAGATGAACTGCTTCCCTAAGATTCTGAACTCGGGTGGTAGTTCACTTGGAAGATTCTCACCTTCTGGTGATGGGGAGACTCAGGTTGAATTCCTTGTGATTTCACCCCTGAACAGCCACAACCTAACTATTGTTGAATGTTTGTGTGTTGTTATGATGGTGATCAGGTTTCACTGGACCATTTAGGAAGAGTGTCTACTTCGAAAAATCAGTTATTTAAAACCCTGTGGTCCATAGTGGTCTGACCCCCAACCAACCATGAGAACAGGGCAGGACCAGGAAGCACTTAGTTAAATTGTATGTGAGGTCGCCATGAGTCAGAGCCAGTGCCTCAGGAACTAACAGCAATAAAGATTATAAAGTTACTCCGAGCTTTATCTAATAATACTAGCTACCTGGATTCTTAAAAATTTAGGTACCTAGCTTTCTTCTGTAAATATGTAAAAAGAAATAAATTAGAAAAGGCAAGCACAGAGAGAAACAAAATAGTAGGGAGACTGAGTAGCTGATAATCAACTTTATTGAAGGCCTCTTCAGTAAGGCATAAAAAGCAGGCAAATAAAGATATCTAACAATCTAATGCTATTATAAAAACTTATATACAAACCATTAAAGCCAAAGATTAATTGAAGATTTCTACCTATTTCTTCAGACTGAATGTAATCAAATGTGTAATCAGCATACACTGATAATTACTGGTTATTGGAATGCAAAGTTGGAAATAATTAATCAGTTTGGAAAATGTGGCCCTGGTGATAGAAACAATGCTAAAGATCACATGAT